TGGGTGACAGAGCAAGACCCCATCTTTAAAAAATGCTGACCAGGCACGGGGATACACACCTGTAATGCCAGCACTTTGAGAGGCTGAAAGGGGGTGGATTGCGTGAGCTCAGGAGTTTGAGACCAGCCTGGCAACATGGTGAAACCCTGTCTCTACAAAAATCAGCCAGGCATGGTGGCACATGCCTGTAGTCCCAGCAACTAGGGAGCCTGAGACAGGAGGGTCACTTGAGCTGGGGTGAGGGGAAGGGCACAGAGGTAGCAGAGAGTCCTAGGCAACGAAGCCAGACCCTCTCTCAAAAAACATTTTAAAAGCATTGTGCTAGGCACAGTGGCTCATGCCTGTAATCCCAGCACTTTAGGAGACCGAGCTAGGTGGATCACCTGAGGTCAGGAGTTTGAGACCAGCCTGACCAACATGGAGAAACCCACATCTCAACTAAAAAATATAAAATTATCCAGGTGTGGTGGCATATGCCTGTAATCCCAGCTACTTGGGAGGCTGAGGCAAGAGAATCACTTGAACCTGGGAGGCAGAGGTTGTGGTGAGCCGAGATGGCACCACTGCACTCCAGCCTTGGCAACAGGAGAGAAACTCCATCTTAACACACACACACACACACTGGAAGCCAGTGCAGAGGCTGACCCCTGTAATCCTAGCACTTTGGGAGGGTGAGGTGGGTGGATCACCTGAGCTCAGGAGTTCAAGACCAGCCTGGGCAACATGGTGACCCCATCTCAAAAAAAAAAAAAAAAAAAAAAATTGCCAGGCATGGTGGCACATGCCTGTGATCCCAGCTACTTGGGAAGGTGAGGTAGGAGGATCGCTTGGGCCAGGAAGGCAGAGGTTGCAGCGCACTGAGATCACACCACTGCACCACTACACTCCAGCCTAGGTGACAGAGAGACCCCGTCAAAAAAAAAAAAAAATCAAATTCTCCAGCCATCAGTTATGATACTGTATTAATTATCCATGCCCTATCCTAATTTGCCTGCATGAGTGTATACACATTTTCTCATTAGTTTCTGTCACTCCTATATTGCCTCTTCCATCCCACTCCTTAGATGTGCTGTGATACTTTTTTTTTTTTGTAGAGACGGGGTTTCACAACGTTGGCCAGGATGGTCTCAATCTCCTGACCTCGTGATCCGTCCGTCTCGGCCTCCCAAAGTGCTGGGATTACAGGGGTGAGCCACCGTGCCCAGGCTTTTTTTTTTTTTTTTTTTTTTTAATTTTTAAAATTTGGAAAAAAACTGTTTTCATTTAGATTTCTCCAGGAAAAGAAAAATAATATGAAGGCTCATAGAGCCTAAAAAATAATAAAATAATAAAAATGCAAAACTAGTCACTACTAGAAGATGGTAGTGAAGCAACTTATTTTGAAACTTACAAATAATCAAACATAATTTACCTTATCTTTCCTACACACACCCAAACCCTAGATAACCAAATAAAAGCGACCAAGTTTCTGTACTGCAGCAAACAAATGAAAAAATACTGTCATTCTGTAACCACTATTAAACTGATGGATCTAGGCACTGATCAGTAGTGACTAATAGCTCAAGAGACAACTACCCATTATTTGCCACGTGATGGAAGAATACCACCACCTATAAATACTGTCCCCATCCAACAAGACAATGATCCGAATCCAATTATGTCTGTGGATCCAAAACAAACTTATAGGAAATATAAAGGCCACAGAAATTAGTTAAATGATATAAAAACGATGCAACTGCAAAATCTGGGAAGCTACAGGGCAAAAAAGCTATTTTCTTCATACACTGCAATGAAAAAAATAAGATAGAGTTGGAGTCTTCATTAATATATGAACTTTCATTGGATCTTGACTCAAACTGTTTACAAAAACTAAATATTTGATATCAGGAAATTATAAATTTTTGATTCGTTGGGTGTATTTTAAGAAGTCCTTATCTTTTAAAAATACATATCAAAATACTTACAAAAGATGCATATTTTCTAGGGTTCCTTCAAAGCAATATGGGGAGGTTGAAGGGGGAAGATGAATAGATTACAGATTAAACAACATTAGTTTAGAAGCTGGTAATTGTTAAGACTCAGTAACTGGTACTTGGGGTTTTATTATTATTCTGATTTCATGTCTGATTAAAATTTTCCACAATAGTGTAAAAACATATAAAGCCCAATGCCCTCCCAAACAAGAAAATAACAAATCCCCACTTGAATTTAGGAACAGTCTTTTAAAAGTTATTTTCCAGCTAGACCTGAATGATCATTGAGAAATTACCTAAAAAACAAACTTTAACAGGTGTTAATTCTTATCCTGGTTAATAAAACAACCAGACTTAGATGAACAATGGGGATGATACAAAATAAACTGTAGGTGAGACTGGTCAGGTGCAGTGGCTCACACCTGTAATCCTAGCACTTTGGGAGGCCGAGGCAGGAGTTCAAGACCACTTGAGGTCAGGAGTTCAAGACCAGCCTGGCCAACATGGTGAAACCCCATCTCTACTACAAATACAAAAATTAGCCAGGTGTGGTGGCACACGCCTATAATCGCAGCTACTCGGGAGGCTGAGGCAGGAGAATCACTTGAATCCAGGAGGTGGAGGCTGCAGTGAGCCGAGATCCGCCACTGCACTCCAGCCTGGGCAACAGAGCAAGACTCCATCTCAAAAAAAAAAAAGTTTTATATTACATGTGAGACTAGTCATTCATTTCTAGCTCTTTAGACTACACATTTAATACCTGCCGTCCAAAGGCTGCAACATATTTAGGAAACAAAATGTACATGAATATAATGACATATCAGTCACGATTCTGGTAGGACAGAAGGCCTGAACTCAGTCATGTAAAATCAACCTAACACTTAAGTTTTAAGAAAGTCATTACATTTCAAAAAATTTTCCTCTTTATTTAAACATAAAACACATTTACAGCATGCAAGTTAACTCAAAATTAAATGGTGTCTTCCCAAACCAAGTATTTCTGAACATATCTTCAAGCACTGAAAATAAACCAACATATTCCACAGGTAGACTCAGACTCTGTCACCTCATGTAAAATGGAGTTAAGCACAAACTGAGAGTTATGCACAGTAGTTAGTTTTCTTAAGTTAGGCAAATAATTTAATTAACCACCATGAATAAATATTATTCTCTTGTTTCACTGAGTTTCTCTTCTGAACCATCTATCAATGCCATTCAGAGGAACATTAATATATCCAATCAAAAAGACACTGCAAATTGAAATGTGTCAGTGTCCTAGATGATCAGAAATTTTAGTTTTTAAGAGTAAGTGCTGTGTTTAATGACCTACTATAGCAAAAAGGAGTTCACTGAAAACAAATATATGAAATTCTTGGTATACTTTATGAAAGTCTGAAATTATAAATAGAAAAGACCATCAAGGTATTTTTTAAAAACCTAACATTATATATTCTGAACCACATGCTAATTATAATTCGTTGTTCATTACACAGCACCAATACCCATGATGCATCTTACAAGAATAAAACTAACATTCAGAAAAAAAGAGAAAAAAAATTCTGCTTCATTTATGAATATTGCCAAAGGAGGCAGGTTTTTAACTGAAAACAAAACATAAAGGTCTATGTGAATGCAGCCAAATGTTTCTCCATTTAGAAAATGATCATAAAGAGGTGGCAGCACTTTTTTTGTTAACTGTATTACTTATATCTGGCTGCACCAATGTTTCATCTCAATTTTTAGAGTGTTTCTTCTAATCAATCCTAAAAGCAACACAATCATTTTAGAGGTTGCAGACTACAACAGCAAAGATTTTCAACTATTAAAAAAATAAATAAATAAATTTATATTTTAAATCAAAATTATTATAAAAGTGGAAATTACAACAGTTAAGGAAATAGAAAAATAAGCCAATTATGATCTGAGTCTTCTGACTATGGCTCCAAATTCAATACAAATATTTGTGTATAAAACTTTTTCAAAAAGTTAATTCTGCCAGCCAGGTCCTAACACAGAACTTTCCAAGTTTCTCTAATGACTGAATAACCTTAAATCCCCATTCTCTGTGAATTTCTGCTAACACAGTTGTAGTCAATGCCCCCCTACCACTGAGGAAGCAAATATTGAAATCTCTTTGCCTATTATTTTTATAGTTTCCTAAAATAAGCTGTTGATTTACGTTAATCATCTCAGGAAAAAGTGGCAAAAATACGTATACACTTAGTACTGATGACAAAATTTTGGGCTATGGCCAACGAAATAATTTATTTTATGATTATTAGTGACTTGCAAACAATTTACTATTTCTAGACTAAACAAGAAACAAATTAGTGTACAAATTAGTGTAGCGGGTTAAAAACACCTCAGGGATTTCAGACCAAAATTGACCCCTATATATTTTTAATTCATCATGTATCTGTACTGTTTCTTCATTTTCCTCAATTTCCACAGGCTATAAATTTAGATCAGCCAATAAAGTACTAACAATATAAAATTATGTTTACTCCTATAATATCTTATTTAACTAATATTAAAGATGACAAATTAGTATCTGTCCAGTTCTTATATTAGCTAGCAGGCTCACCAGAATGAAGCAGGGCATTTTCATTCCATCAAGCTTTGCTGAGTACAGAATCAGGAAAAAGAGAAATAGAATTCCTTTCCCAAACTCTCTTAAACTAAGATCTGCTTTTGATACTTTAAAATATTTCTATTCAAAATAACTCAGCAACAGGCATTTCATGAGATAATAAGTAGCCTTGCTCAGTCTTAAATGCCTAGTTAGGCAAATATAAGGTTTCAGTGCTCAAACAGTAGTTTTCAGGAGCAAACTTCAGAAACAATACAAGTAATTTTAACCCTGATAATATCATTTCAAGGGATTTTAAAATACAGTACTGACCTGATATATTTTATGGGCATGTAGTGTTGTAAGTGGTAAAATTTAAGACATTTAACTTCAATGTTCCATTTTCTCTTAAAAAAAAAAAAAAAAAAAAAAAATTAAATAAAAAAAAAAAAAAAAAAAAAAAAAGGAAGACATTTTAATTGGAAAAGAAAAACAAGCAGTAGCAGCTAGGTAATTTAAACTGAGGTTAAAAAATAAACATATATAAAAAACAAATACAAAAAGTACAGTCCTACAGGGTACAGTTAGCTTGGCACAGTAAAGACTAAATTTAAGACACAATAGACAAACTGTGTAATAAATAGGGCCACAGTTGTAAACTGTCCTTTTTCCCTCCTAAGATGCCAAAATTGCACTCTAGATGTGTTGGGAAGCAGCAGAGTTTACAAGAAGAGTAGATAGGAAACAGCTGTACAGGCCAGATATAATTTATGCATTTTTTAAAAAGTTATAATTCTACAATCCCAAGGGAGTAGAGGTTATAGTCATTGAATGACTGCTTGATGCCATGTCCTCTTCATACTTCAATTACTGTTTAACACCTGAAAAGGGGAGAAAGCATAAAGAGTAAATATGTTTAGTTTTGCCAAATTCATGTTTGAGATAAACATAAAGAATAAAACATGCCAATAATTTATAAGCATTTTAGCCAACAGCTGTGGCTACTTTCCCCAAAATTGGAAAGAGGGCAATATTAAGTGATTTGATTTCCTTTTATTTACCACCTAAGTACAAGTGTTTAGAAGAAGTACAATGTTTAAAAGGAGTTCAGCCCTCCTTTTATTTTTATTCTCCCCAGTAAAGCTATGGGTAAGCTGATTTATGAATTATATTTGTTTAAAAAGGAAAAAGATGGTTATCTTTTAACCAGCAGATAGTGGTCAGTAACATTCTTAAACCAAGGACCACTAACCAGCAACTAAGTTATATATGTGGAAGCTTTAAAAAAAAAAGGGAGAGAAATGTAGAGGAATAAGGGTAAACAAGAAGTGTATAGGAAAAGTAACAGTGAAATCAACAGTTCCAGTAGTATTAAACATCTTTGTATTAAACTGCCTACTTACGTTATGAATTTAGAAAAAAACCTGTTTAAAGTACAATGCAAGGCAGACTAACCATGTAAAACTGGGAACTAAAAGTATCAGTATTATTTATACACTATCATCCTTTCCAAAAGTAAACGCAGTGACTTGAAATGATTTTCTTAACATTAAAAAAATTTCTCTGCAAATTATTTAACATTTAAACAATTTATCACTTAAGTAAATCATATACTCTCCAATCATGTTTTAAGACAGATTAATACAAGAGGAGTGTGAAAAGAACCACTATCTTTGGACCAGCATTTAAACAAACCTGTAAATAATTATATTTTTACATCATAACTTTCAAATCTTGAAAATTTAGTTTGGCTGGGTTAGCTGTCTCCCTTATGTGCTAGCTTGGTGTCACTATACTGGGATCAGCTATATTTAACAAAAGCATGGTCTGTCCTCTGTACACTGAGATATAAGTTTAAAGCTGACACATGAATTTTAATGTGAGGACAATATCCAAAAAGGATAAACTTTCTATCTATGCTTTGAAAATCCCCCTGCCCAGCTCCCACTTCCAGAAAGGCAGGACAAAAAGGGCTTGCATCTATTGAATACTGTGTGCTGGGAAACATCTTAACTCATATAATTCTTTTTTTTTTTTTTTTTTTTTTTGAGATGAAGTTTTGCTCTTGTTACCCAGGCTAAAGTGCAATGGTGTGATCTCGGCTCACCTGCAACCTCTGGCTCCCAGGTTCAAGTGATTCTCCTGCTTTAGCCTCCCCAGTAGCTGCGATTACAAGTATGGACCACCACGCACGGCTATTTTTTTTTTATTTTTATTTTTTGGTATTTTTAGTAGAGACAGGGTTTCTCCATGTTTGTCAGGCTGGTCTTGAACTCCTGACCTCAGGTAATCCACCAGCCTCAGGCTTCCAAAGTGCTGGAATTACAGGCATGAGCCACCACACCCAGCCAACTCATGGAATTCTTATGAAATGATTTCCATTTTACTAATACAACAGAGTTATTAGTCCAAAGGGGAAAAACACAGAGACTTAGTCCAAAGGGGAAAAACAGGCTATCTCTAATTATCAGGAAAACCAGCTATTGTAGGTCTACTAAGTATGTATTATCTATGATATAGCCTTGTCAAAAATGTTTATGCTGAGTCTAATCAATGCTTTTGCATAGAAATAGAGGGGTGAGAAAACAAGGTGACTACATATAAACACAATCAGACACATCTAGAAGGTGTTATACCCTCAGGATAACTGCCCCACTATTCAGTAAGTTAGTATCACTAAAAAGTTGGTCATTCAAGATTACAAGAGATTAAAGGGATAAAAACAAATGCAAACAGGAGCCCTGAATTGTACCCTGGTTTAATCAAACCAGCTGTACAGCTTAGTAAAAAAAACTGGAAAAATCTGAATATGAACTGGTATTAAATAATATGAAAATACAATTTTATTGGGTGTGATAATACTGTGGCTATGTAGAAAAATGTTGTTTTAGAGACTCAGTAAACAGTTAAGCAATACATCCATAATTTATTTTTACACTGAAGCATTGTAAAATAAGTCAGAATTAGAAAAAAACTACTAAAAGGTTTATCTGCTGAAGTTGTTAAAAGTCAAGTCAGGATTCCAACTTGGATGGAACTCCATAATCCATGTTCTTTTCACTCTGCCACTGTGTTAAATCCTACATTGTGTGAACAAAATGTTCAAAATTGTTAGAAATGTGAATCCTTCAAAATATTTAGTTCTCTACTCAAATTTAGAGCCAGTATAGTATGCAAAGTATCAATGTAAAAACAAGCAACATTAAAATAAACTAGCTCTAGTATTTGTTAGAAACAGTTAATCATTTCATAATTATCTAGTATTTTTTATTTCCAAAGCATATACACATCACGGACTTCCTGAAGAGTCACAATCATAGTTCCTGCTATATGATGAATTATTAGGCAACTACTAACCTATCAATCATGTTGTACAAGAAAGTGTTCAGAATATATTGCTAAGTTTAAAAAGCAGGCTACGGGCCGGGCGTGGTGCCTCACGCCTGTAATCCAAGCACTTTGGAGGCCAAGGTAGGTGGATCACCTGAGGTCAGGAGTTCAGGACCAGCCTGACCAACATGGTGAAACCCCGTCTTTATTAAAAAAAA